GAGTGCACCACGTCTCTCAACTGACGACGCAGTCCCTCCCCATTTGACAGTTTGCACCCACGTCTCTCGATAGATGGTGGCGTGACTGTCCCTTCGGGACGTGTCACTCATCCAAGCGGGGTAGTACATTGTACGATCACCTGCGCATTCCTAGAAGGTAACGGCTGCAACAAGAGCCCAGTGGTGGTTACACCCGATTTGACAAGAACACCCCTATAAAAGCCCTTTAATCGAAGGGGATAGGACACTCTCGGATTTTCATTTGAACTTGAATTATCTTACTTGCACACGAGCTAATCTTGAGATACAGTGATCTAGCGCGACCTACAATCTTAGCCTTTTACACTCTTTTCTTCCTCCCCAGCGTTCTAACTTAAGCTTCGGAGTATTCCCACCGGTCAAATCCCCCAGGAATCCTTAACCTTCGTCTTCTCAGGTGCCATCCGTTGCCAGTTAGGAGTGCCCGGATCGTGCCGCATCAGACTGCACTACATACCTCTGGAGAGAAGGGAAGGGGGAGGGTATGTTCCCCCCCCCCCATATAGTATTCTCTTCTTCTTTTAAATAAAAGAACTTACTGGAATCATGACATTGACCGGGTTGACTTGATTTGGTTATGGTTTAAGCTAGGAGGGTTAAATCAGGTCTATGTTCTTACACCTATCCACCATAAAAGTTTTAGGAATTATTTGTACATAAGTTAATAAATTATTTTAATTGAGGGTTGAATTGCAAAATTAATATATAATTATCATTGCCATCATCACCTAAGTCTTGGATCGATAAGCTTATCCAAGTTTTCTTGTTGTGCAATGAAAGCAAACTTGAACCCGAAAAAAAAAATGTTTTGTGAGTTGTTTGTAAAAAGTAAAGGCTCAGTTTGGAAGTAGTACAAATGCAAATATGTACAGCGTAAATACATAAAAAATAATACAAAATATAAGGTTTTGCACTCTACATATTTGCATTTGTACTCCTTCCAAACTCAGTTAAAATCATTATAATTTGAAGTCAAAACAATTTTAGACACAAAACACAAATCCCAAAATTGGGGCTTCATGATTTCAATCAAATTTCTGAAATGTAATAGGTCCTATTTTGAGTTTTTCTTAGAAGGCAAACAAAGCATTCATTAATCAATGAGGAAAATCAGATACAATGAGAGCATGAACAAAAGATCCTATTTGGTTTTACCCATACCAATTACCAAACCCGAGTCACTTTTGTGCCCAACCCGAGTCGCTTCTCCAGTACTCTTTGCGGTCTTTCGTTGAATAAGGCTAGAAGTAAAATAATAATAATAATAATAATAATAATAATAATAGCAAACTAATAAGTTTGTTAAAACAAAGCTACCTATTTCATTTTAGATTTTTGGAAATATTATCAATTCTGTCACGGATCTCAAAACTTAGACAGCATAATTTTGGTCAAAACAAAAACTTCTCCTTAGTTTTCTGACAATCTTATAAATCTCCCCTGTGTTTTGATATGAATAGAATCCTCTCTTATAATTTTGAAAAATGGTGCATATATCTCCCTCTTATTAGTTTTTTTTGGGCCAAAAACCCTAATATAATACATTAATTTTCTCAAAATTCCACATTTACCCTTGAAGTGGTAACCGAAGCAAACCACTCTCCTACCCCTGTTCTTTTCACTTCTTTGTCTCAATTGAGCTAGCCAATCGTCACTCATTTTTTCTCCTTTTGCTTTGTTTTATTTATTTTTCACATTTTCTTAATTTCTCATCTCTTTTATTCTTCTTCAGTTCTCTTTCTTTCTTCTTCATTATCTTTCTTTCTTATTTTTTTTTCTTTTCATTTTCTGGTTCTTTTTTTCTAGGTGACAGGCAAATAGGAACCACATTCTAGAGACTTCGTAGAGATGCCTATTAAATGGTTCTAAGTGATTCCTTCTACTATTTAAGTAATTTAACAGCCATTTCTCACAACTATTTAATCTACCCAAAAAGCTTCAATCGTACTGAATTCATCTTTATAATGCATTCATAACTATTTAGAAAACTGCATTTTCAAGGTTCGTTCTTGAAACAAAACCGAACCAGATCTGAACCCAAAAGAAGGGAGAGGGAAATACCTGATACGGAATTAAAAGGAACTCCCAATGTAGGTGTTCACGCTCAAAGAGGATACCAAATCCGCCTCCATTGAAGATGACACAACATATGTTGAGGCAGGACCAGCAAGAACCTGAGATTCTTCACCAAGAATCCAGTAGGGTGGTGTGAGCACAACTTCTGATTGTTTCTTCACCAAGAAACAATGTCAAGAACACTTCTTGATCACTCCAATAGGTGGAGATCGAATTGGGATGGTGCCAAGAACTGAGGGAGAGAAAAGACTGCATAAAGAATTGTGTTCCTTTTGTGGAATTCGCCCCTTTTTATAATCCCTTCAGGATCAGCTTCCTAATCTAATTAGGAATGAGATTTCCTAATCTAAATCTTGTATTTAGATTTGGACTCTCAAGTTGATAAGACTTATCTTATCCAACTGCTAATCCCACTCAGATTATAAACCCAGAATGGCCCATTTGTATTAAACCATTTAAACCCAATTCGAAATGGGCTTTAAGCCCATTAAGTCATATTGCTTACTTAACCCATTATGTGCTTGCTAGTTTGGTTCTCTTTGTATGGCGTGGGACCCTAGCATTGATCTATACATCAACCACATGGGTTCATCCCAACCTTCGTTACAAAGCCTAGCCGAATTCACTGTAGGTCACAGTAACCCCTGAGTTCATCACCATGGGCTCTTAATGGGTCCAACATTTACAGTAAATGGTCATTGGGTTGAGCCATCTTGTGAAAACCTAAGGACTTTGGGTAGATGCAAGATTAGCCCATCAGGTATTACCCTCAATGGCCTTACATTTAACCTCTTAGCCCTTAATAATCATACATTGCCAGACAAGAGAGGATCTCTCCCTCGGCTGCAAGGTACAGTGCTGCACTCTCTACTCACATAGATCCTGGGAATTAAAACCTTTTGCAAACATTTTGTGAAATCAGAACATATAAGTATATCTCTATATAAATATATTTTGCAAAACAAATTTCACACATTTGAAATCCACTGTCGATAGTTTAGGTTTCCATCAAAGAGAGTGCATTCCCCGATCATTCACTTTGTCCGACAAAGGGGCTGATCCTGTCACTATGATCACCCACTCAGGTGAATTCTCGGACTGCCCCAACATACCCAGGTTTTGACCCGGAAAAGGATTTCATCGATTGTCATATCAAAGACAGCCCAATCCGACACCTAGTGCAATACCATAATCGAGTCTAAGGGTTAGGTGTAACATTCTAGTTTTGCCCATCTATCTCTAAGGTCCAAGGCAATAATAGAATTTGGTCATGTTCAGGGTTTCAAGAAAACCCACACTGCATGTACCTCAGGTCTCACTCTGGCAGTTGAGACAAACTACCCCAACCAACTTGGCGGCACATCATGTCAGCCTTGGCAGGACAAATCTCCCCAGATCTATCCAATGGCTGTGAAGATTCTAAACTAACACGAGTCTCATAAGTGTCCAGTTTAAGGGTATTACACATAAACACACCATAATAACATGGATCAATTATGCACTTTATTCATTTACAATAAATGACAATAAGTACATCAATCTGATTAGATCTAAGGGCATACATAGTCTAACACTAAGTGATTCCTTCTACTAATTAAGTAATTTAACAGTCATTTCTCATAACTATTTAATCTACCCAAAAAGCTTCAACCGTACTGAACTCATCTTTATAATGCGTTTAAAACTTCATATATTGTGTGTGACTGTACTCCAAGTGTTCAAAGAAATTCCTAACACGATTTCAAATCATAAAACAGAAAAAATAAAATAAAAATTTCAAAGTTCTATTAAGTATTAAGCGCCAACCTATTTCTCTCAATCTTACCTAGATTGTTTTATTAAATTTAACATGAACAAAGTCAAAGACATTGCCTTCCACACGATTTATCCCCAAGAGCAAAAATCTTGACAAACTAGAGAAATCAAACATGGAATCTAAATTAAGATTATCAACTGCCTGATAAAATCTTGCTGAAACCTACGGGAATGTTGCTAGTGAATTTGTGGAGATGTTTTTATTTCAAAGAGAAGCTTGCTCTGTTCTGTTGAACTTGACGTAGAAGGATACATCCCATAAAGAGGAGGATGATACTTGGTAGTATTTAAGGGTGTTTTAGTAAATTCCTCTTCAAAGTAAACGAAACTTTAATGGAAAGGAGGTATTTATAGCTTTTTTCAAAACTATAGGGGAGGATTCTGTTAAAATCAAAACATAGGGGAGGTTTATAAGGTTGTCAGAAAACTAAGGGGAGGTTTTTATATTTTACCCTTAAGTAAAAGTCAAGACAAACACTAATGCCTGATGTGATATGGGAAAAGAGTCGTCCGATCTCGGCAACTCTTCTCTAATATATCAACTAATCACAGAACATCACTGGCCGATTATATAAATCCGACCTTCTCACAAAATAAACAAACACTGTTACTAGAGATCGGATCTGTGAATTAAGGAAGAACCAACCTCGGCCGGTCTGCCCATGACGTTATGGTCTTCTCAGCTCTTTCTCTTCCTGTGATCTACCTGAACCCATATCAACAACTCTTCGACAGAAAACCCTTTGTTTTATTTCTTCGCCTTCTTTCCGTGCTCATCATTCAACAATTTCTTCTGTTAACTGTATATATTTATACGCACATTCCCTTTACATTGTCATCCAGAAAACTGTATAAAAGGTATATACTAGATTGCTTTCTCCCTTTCTTATTCTTTTCAGTTTTTAGTTTGTTTGTTTTGATCTGAATGGCTTCTCTTGATCTTTTACAAGTAGAGAGTAGCTAAATAAACAAAGTGGGTATTAAATCTATTCTCTCTGTCTCTCTCTTTTTTAATTTTCTTCTCTTTCCTCTTCATTGTTTTTTTTCTAAGTTGGGTTGCTTGATTTAGGATGCAGAAGAGTAATAGTGGCGCATCAGTACACCATGCCTGCGCAGCCTGCAAGCATCAGAGGAAGAGGTGCGGGGAGGATTGCATACTGGCGCCATTGTTTACTCCAGAGAAGACCCAGCAATTCCAAGCAGTGCACAAGGTGTTTGGTGTAAGCAACGTCCAGAAAATGTTGAGAAAGCTTGACAGCCATGAGAGTCGGGTTAAAGCAGCTGAGTCTCTCATATGGGAAGCAGTCCATCGGCAGAAGGACCCAATTCATGGATGTTATGGAGAATACAAGAGAGTTGTTGAAGAGCTTAAGTCGCTTAAACGGCAACAGATGGCGGCGATGCGCCGGCCGGAGTCCATGATCTACAAGCCTGGACCAGCTTTGGTAGATTGGTCCAATAACAATAATGCTAATGCCATGGGAGTGAATAACAGTAACTACATCCAGAGTAGTGGAAGCTTGTTATTTGACGCTGTCCCATATAGTATACAAGGACAAGAGAAAGGAAGCCATGGAAGAGATCCTCTCCGCTCTGTTGTTTGCTCACCAAATCCCATGAATGGTTTTAACCAAACTTACAATTATCTTCCAGGTGATGAATCATCCTCCATGCAGCCGAGTTTTCAATAGCTCATGCATTTAGCTCTGTGTCATGTGTGAGAATTTCTTTTGACTTACAGAGGTTTAATTTTGGGTTTTTATGGTTGTAGCAGATCAATATGGTCGGATGACTTTGAAGACAATGGATGACACAATCTGGAATGGAGGTTCGTAATTGCCAGCTGCCTTTTTTTTGGATTTCCACTAGTTCTTTTCTTGTTTGACACCAGTGGGAATCACCAGTTAAGTTACTATGGAGTTCTACTAAAGGGTTCAATCAGTTCACCAAAAAAGAGTTCAATTAGTTGAGTAGTTGTCTATCCTTAATTTGTATATTGTTAATGGACATTGTATTTATTCACAATTTTTTTTATTAAATACCATCATCTTGGAATCCAAAATTAGGTTTTCTTTTTTTTTTTTCTTTCTCAATTTATCATATTTTCAGTTCTGGTTTGTTCAGAAAGTTTGGTCTTGAAAGCATTAGTGAATTTACGTCTAGCATTAGGTTATAAGATGATGATGTATTTTTTGTCCTTACGCTTTCTCAACTCCCAAGACTATTAAGGATTTCTTTTTGTTTCAGTTAAATTAAAATAGCTCCACATTATCTTAAGACCTAAGATGAGTAGAATTCTAACATTATCCCAATTAGTTTGGAAAAAAAAAAAAATCAACATATGCATATATTTTATAAATGTGATTCATTGGCTTAGATGGTAGGATCACCGATCAGCTAAAGACTAATTATTTGTCCTCATAGGGCATGGGCTGGGCTGTGCCGGGCTTTGGACCTGTCACAAATAAATATATAACATATATAAGATACTTATATACATAATATATTATATGCATTATTTTACAATATAATATAAATTTTGATCAAACCCATGGGAAGCAGGAATACCTACTTCCTGGAAGATGTGATTAAGATGATCAGTCGGCACCCCTCCCTCTGAAATGGGAGGCATGGGATCAAACCCAAATCCAAACCCAAATCCAAACTCATGGAGCTTCAGGTTCTCCATGGTTTCTCCAAATGGGCCTCATATACACGATACACCCTGCTCTGTTACCACCCCTGAATCCTGATTTGTGCATCTTTGTGTACATATGGGGTGTATTCTCTTTGTTATATGATCCAATCAATGTCTTCAATTCACCGATTGGGCGGTCAAACGAGTGACCAGAAAGCTGACCTGATTTCAAGGCTTTTGACAAATGTGATCATTATGTGCCCTAGGGATGGTAATTTCCCCTGTAAAGCCAGGGCCCCGCCCCACCCCGCCCTGAACGGGGTGGGTTTTCCTTGACCCTAAACAGGGACGGGGCGGGGACAGGGAAATATTTTTTTTTTCGAATTGGGGACGGGGTGGGAACGGGTTTTATATATAATTCTCTAAACCCACTCTGAACCCGAAGGTAAATTAGTAAAATATCTTTAGGTTTAATATTGATATTTAAAATATCTCTAAGTTTTCCCTAAATTCTTAAAATCCTATGATCCCATAATTTTATTTTTGAATTACCCTTAAAGTATTATAATTCAATTCTTAAAATACCTCTAAATTCCTATATCCTATATATAAATTGTCCATAAAATAGATAATTTTGAAGTAGTTGTCTTGGAGTTGGAAAAATTCAGGGATTCCCCATCCCCCATAGGGAATGGATGCCCCATCCCGAACCCACCCCACCACTAGGGATGGGACAGGTCCGGGGCAAAATATCTTGACTTCGCAGCAGGAATGGAGAGGTGGTGCCCCACCCCATTGCCATTCCTAATGTACCCGTTTGGGAGGGTTGAAGTGCAATGGTTTCTGTTTTTTTGAGATAGACCCAGGAGAACAGCCTTTAAGCCTATATTGGCTGTCCGCTTCAATCTCTTTAAATTCAGCATTCCAAAGCAACTGAACTAGCTTTAACTGAATATGAATGGCAACTTTTCGGTTCACTTTATTGAAATAGCTTAGTTGAATCTTCAAAGCGGCTGAACTAGCTGAGCTGAATTTTCAGCAATCTGGAGTACTTCAAATACCCTTCATGGAGATAACTACTGAATTATTTCACAGCCTTTTATGTATCGGGCGGAACTATATGCATGCATCAACCGATACGCATCCATAGCTGTGGTATTTTGAACCTTTCATATATAAAGTCCATCAAGGAATGAATTTGTTTTTATGGCTTAGTTTGGAAAGAGTACAAATGTAAATATGTACAGTATAAATACATACAAAATAATATAAAAATAATAAAATACAGGATTTTGCATAGGGGTGGATTCGAGCTGAGCCGAGCTGAATAGTACGAAACTCGAGCTCAGCTCGAGATTGTTCTACAAAGCTCGAGCCAGAACCTTGAGCTCGAGCTCGGCTCGAGTAAAAAATTCATAAGCTCGAGCTCAATTTTGAGAAAAAACATTTTATAAAAATAAAAAATTATATATAAAAATATTTTTTATTTGATATTTAAAAAAATAAAAATTTTTAATAATTAATAATTATAATATTTTTATTATATATATATATATTCAAGCTGGCTCACGAACCTCATGAGCCGAGCTCAACCATTTCATAATTGAGTCAGTGAATTGGGCTTGAGCTCGATTGAAACCGAGCCGAGCCAAACTCGAGCAGCTCATGAAAAGCTCAGCTCGTTGCCACCCCTAGTTTTGCACTATACGCATTTGTATTTGTACTCCTTCCAAATTGGAGATCAACTTCTATCAGGGCAAAACTGTGCCCACACCGTTCTAACAGCCATTTTCACCCTTGCTTGGAAATATCTCCTCATAAAATAAAACATACAAGCATAGAGATAATCTCAATGCAAGGCAATAAAGGGTGCTTGAACCGGCCCTGCCCTCACTGAAGCCGAACGCTCCAAACTGAGCCTATGTGAAGAGTTTTATTCTCCTTTTTGCTAGTCGTGGGACTTTTTATTAGAACAGATTACTTTTTTTATGATCCATCCATCGTTTCATCTATTTATCCTGATTTTCCTTTTGAGATGTCCAAGTGGACAAACTAATAGTCTAATACTCAATCTCTTATTTGATGTAAGATATCAAAAGATAACACAGCTATCAGAGTATTGTGGATGCTTTTTGTGACAGAACTTAATAGGCCGGGGTTCTCCAAGTTATTCTCTTTCCACGTGGCAAATTTTAATCCTGTAGTTCTCGTAGTAACAAATTTGAATAAAAGAATCTGAATCAACAATATGATTATTCAATAACAGTCCATGGAATCTTTATATGATTATCCAGCGCGCCACTGGTTTCGCTTATCAGAACTTATTGGTCACTTCTAATCATCATGGAAGGCTATCAATATGGATCCTGTGATTCTGCCAGTGCACTGGATAAAGCCAATTCCTTTCAGAATTCAGGTGTGGGATTTGTAGTGAGGGGCCACACGGGATCTTTCATATTTGTACGAGCTATTCCTCTTAATTCATTGCTTCCAATTGTTTATGAAGCCACAACTCTATTGGAAAGTATCAAGTTTGTTATTTCCATGGGATTTTCTCACACCATCTTTGAAGGTGATAATGAAATAGTTATTAAAGCTCAATTTGGAAAGAGTACAAATACAAAAATGTACAGTGCAAATACATACAAAATAATATAAAAAACAAAGGTTTGCACTCTACATATTTGTATTTGTACTCCTTCCAAATTGAGCCTAAGCTCTTGTTGGAGGAAAACTCTCATCCTCCTTGGAGTATTTTTACTCTAATATCTAGTTGTAGTTGTCTCTTCAATCACCTAGATGGTTCTTCAATTACTTTCACTCCTAAATCTAGTAACTAGGTAGGTAGCTCACCACTTAGCTAAATTTGTTCTTACTTGTCAACTTCCTCAAACGTGGTCCTCTGCTCCTGAGTTTATCTCTTCCTTGTTGAACAAGAATGCAACTGAGATTTGAATGAATGAAGGTATCTAACGGCTTTCAAAAAAAAAATGAATCAATTTCAGGACATTTTGTATATAGGGAAAATAAATAGTGCCACTTTAATGTGTTGTATGATAATATAAATTAATTGCAAAAATTTTGATAAATGGAATCAAATCCATTATAGCCAGCTAGAAATTCCATCTCGGAGTGTTTTTGTTGCAAAGGCTGCGTATGGTTGCCATATACATTTCATTTGCATTGGTGTAAATGCATAGAAAAGTGCAAATGGTTGAGTATGACCCTTGGGGGGAAATTGGTCAATGAAATTTTGGTTCTTATTGACCAAGATACCCATGTTCTTTTTTACAGATTTATATGGGGTTCATGGAAAATTTATTTTTCTTAGGTATCACTTACCCTGGGATAAGTGACACTTATCTCTCAAGTGGATAAGTAATTTTCCCACCTAAGGGAATAAGTAACTTTCCCACCTAAGGGAAAGTTGCCAGCACTTGGATGGGACAAAATTACCCTTTTAATAATGATTTTTATGACTAAAATGATCATTTTCTTATTTACCTAAAAAATAAAAGAACATGGATAAATGTACTTACCTGGATAAACATTTCCTAGAAAACACTAACCCTAATTAAATATATTTTCCTGGGTAAACAACTTTCCGAAAACTGAGTAGAGCCTTAATTATTTGTTTATGAAAACTAAGATAGGAAGTAAAATGAAATGGCCTTATTTTAAATGAACTTGGATCTGCTGGGATTTGCGTCCCTCCAAAATTGGAGCAACCCTCAGCGATGCAAACACGCCAATGTGTTAATAAAAAAAAAAAAATCACATATATTTTGTCTTTTCTTTATCAGAAAGTAGTGTGTTCATATTTCACCAGGGGGTTGCAGTAGATGTGAACTCACTTTAAATGGAAGGGAATGGAGGTAGGAATAAGCTGGGATGAAAGATGATGTGGTCTCCATTTTACATGAGAAAGATTTGAGGTAGGAGGAAGGTGGTGCAAATTTTGCATCACTTTTTCAGGATGCAAAACTTGCACTGTCAATAAATGCATAAGAGACAAAAAGTACACATTTTGTGTCACATAGGAATGAAAATCATGATTACAAACAAAAGCAAAACTGAATTAGGTACAAATTTTGGACCTGGTTAAGATTTGCACTGCAACCAAACATAACCAAATAAACAGATTATGAATAACATTGATAATGCATGAACTACTTAATAGGAAACAAAGAAAACATCAAGAATAATTTCATTCAAAATTAATACAAAAAAAAGCCTTATAATAACCTAGCAATTTATTTATAAATTCTCCAAAAAAAATTGGTTACTACTAAAATTGAAATCATTAGGTCATGAAAATGCATCATATACCCTCTAGGCAAATCTTAATTAATTGGTCTCCTAACAATTTGTTTATACCAACAAAAGGAATCGGAGTTCAACCAAAAAAAATTAATAAATAAGCAAACGAAAACAAAAACAAAATGAAATCAGACAAAGAGATCCTTATATTTTTGTGATTCGTGTGAAAATAGTAATGAGACAATTGATAAAGGAATTGACAAAGGAGAAAGAACAAAGGAAATTTCGTGCTAAATCGTCAGAATATTTGTCAGCTAACAATTGAATGGAAGAGGATTTCTTGAATAAACAAAATTTAGAAAATTCTGTATTCTTAAAAGACTAAGGGTCTGTTTGATTTGCAGGACCAGCGTTTGGTTCGGTGGAAACGGAATCCGATTTCCATTCCGGGCGGAATGGCAATCCCCCATTTGAGGGAATGGCCATTACCGACCCACGCCCCCGGAAAAATCAAAATGACAAAAAACCCGCTAAAACCTCATTCCCCTTTCTCTCTCGTCACTCCCTCCATAGGCAGCTGAAGTTCGAAGTATTGATCTGAACTGAAACTCCGGCAACGGTGACGATGAGGTAAATCACCATCAATTTTTTTTTCTCTCCTCTTTCATATTCTTCTTCCTCTCCTTCTCTCTCACTTTATTTTTTCATTCCTCCCCATTTTTTCTGTTGCAGACCAGACCAAACCACAGCAAGGTATGTTATCCTCGATTTTCCTTTCCAGCAAAGTATTTGTTATATAGATCTTTAGTAGAAGGTCTGAAATGCATGCTAAATTTAGTCGTTTATACTTGACCTCGAAATGCATGTTAATTTAGCAGGTCTGAAATGCATGTTAATTTTTTTCCCAATTTCAATTTGTAATGCATCCTTATGTGAGTAGAGTTATTTGGTCATTAGTTCTGTATGGTGTTTAAATTTTTGTATGTTTATCTTATTGTTTACCTGATTCAGCTCTATCTTTGTAGCTAATAAGTTTTGAAAGATCTCTATCAAGTTCATCAGAGTACAATAACATTTTAATCTAATTTCAAATTAGATAACAGTCTGATTAAACATGAATAGTGACAATTAATTAAGGGATTTTAGAGTTACAAGCAAGCAACCACTTTATCCCGATTTCTATCTGGATTGGTTAATAGGTTTGGTGTCATGTTTATTCATATTTAACAGTAGCAGCTGAGATGTGGTTCAAATGAGTCCACACGTTTCTTTTTTCTTTTTTCTTTCCGTGG